ACTAACCAGTTTCTTATAATCCAGTTGCCTAATATATTGCTTAAACACTAATAAACTGAAAAAAGAAAAAGTATAGATGGCAAGTGAAAATTGTGTACTCCTGGTATTTCTACAATAAAACATGGTATATTAAAAACATTGCTGACTTTATTTTTTAAGTTTTATATTATTTGGTGTCTATTGAGTTTGTTATGTCAAGGTTTGAAATAGAAACCTCATCTTCCCAATTTAAGATACTTAGAAAGTTATTAATTTTATACCACATAATTTAAGATGTTTTAAATTCCACATTAAGCACTTCTGAATGTCATAGTTTTCACATATTTGCATAAGAGGTGAAGGATTTTATAACCTGCTTCCAAATAATAGAATCCCAGTTAGAATTCTCTTAGTACTTCATTAAGAAAATATAAAATACTTCCATAGTTGTTTAATTTCTAATTATACCTTGTTAATTTTGGCAAATAAATGCTATTTTAAATTCCCATATTGAATAATATAAAATAGGATAATCTGTACTTAGTCAATTTTAATACAGATTTTTGAGCAACAAAGTGGTTGATTGGCACCCTCTGTTGGTCACTTTATTTACCTACAGGCAGAAATTAAGTAAAAAGCAAAATTAAAAGTTTGTCTTTAATATTTTTATCATTATCTTTTAAATTAACATTTAAAGTCTCACCAAAATAATACTCTAAACTGGGTTTATAAGAATAAGGTACACTACTATTTAGCTGTGCCTCTGTTTGGATAATTTTGTGGTTATTTGCTTTTTCCTCAGGCTGGCTCTCTAATTGTAGCGTTTAGAATTGGCATTAACATTGCAGATTTTCAAACAAGTATTTATTTAACTGTAGCAAACTATTAGCTACAGTAGCACATTATTAAACAGAGAATGTTTAACAATTTTATTGTCAATTTGGATTAATTAGAAAAACATCACATTTTAGCACCCTAAATAACAGTTTGAGGAGTTATTTGAATTGAAAATAATTCAGGCTTCAGCAAAATGAGGCTGAATTAGTTCAGTGTGTCTCTCATTTAAAAAAAAAACAGATTTAATTATTCTGTAAGATTATATGATTAAATGGATTTAAATTATAGTTTGATAATATTTATGTATAATAAGTTTGTTGGCTGGCCCTGGAAATGCCTATGCAAGTATATTATGATTACAGAGAAGAAAGCTGTATGTACTCTGCCGTGTGGTTAAATCATTTGGGGGGATTTTTTTTTTTGTTTTTTTGTGGTAAATTTTCAGCAAGTTTGCTTTTGGTGGTTCTTATATTTCAGAATTTCACTTACCTGCAAAAGCGCACATTTAATCCAATTTAGTAATACCTAATGGATCTCAACTTTAGCATAATCTATGACCTATTCCATAATACTCAAGTTACTCACCATATTAGAGCTTTCTTGTATTTCTTCACTGAAATAAGTATTTTAGGAATTTATATTATGCATTGCTCATATAGAAGGTGTTTTTAGAAATATTACAAGTGCCAGCCAACTGTATATATATTGTATTTCTTATACCAATTTGAGGAAATTGAGATTTGTGTTTGATTTCTAGTGTGCCTTAGAGTAGGCTAGTCAATTGAAATTTTCACTCTGTGATGAACTAATAAGCAAGCTAATGTTCTTCAACATGACAAGTTTAGTTCTCCAACTAAACTTGAGTATAAAATATTGAACTTGACTTAAAATTTATGATTCAATGAAATATTATTTTTAAGTAATCAATGAGTACTTTTATTTTTACTTAGTGAATTCCCTGTTTTAACTTAAATACTAATGTGACCACAAAGAAATTAGATAGGATCTTGAGAAATTTATGGGTTGTTTTTTTTTAAAGATTTTATTTATTTATTTATTCATGAGAGACAGAGAGAGAGAGAGAGAGGCAGAGGGAGAAGCAGGCTCCCAAGGATCAGGGAGCCCGATGTGGGACTCGATCATGACCTGAGCCGAAGGCAGACGCTCAACCATCTGAGCCACCCAGATGCCCCAAGAAATGTATGGTTTTAAGTCTACTACATTACTTCAGTTATACCTCACATGTAGTTCTATAAATACTATATACATGTCTTATGTAAGTTTATCAACTTAAGTATATCAGTATATTATTTCAGCTCATATGGACTATATTTCCCTAAAGTGCTTATGTGCTTAATCCAGTAAGAGTAAGAGAAGTAGACTGATATATTGTCTTCAAATCTTGATGTATAATAAAGAATATCTGTGCAATCATTTTAACATGCCTACTGAAACGCGATGAGATGGTGTCATACTCTTCTGAAAATTAGTTACACTTCAGAATCCCATCCAATCTTTCTCCAAAAGCTCTCTTAGAATCAAACATTGCTAAAATGTCTATGCTGCCCAGAGCCGTCTATACTTTCAACACCATCCCAATCAAAATACCAACAGCATTTTTCAAAGTGCTGGAACAAACAATCCTAAAATTTGTATGAAATCAGAAAAGACCCTGAATTGCCAAGGAAATGTTGAAAAAGAAAAACAAAGCTGGGGGCATCACGTTGCCGGATTTCAAGCTATATTACAAAGCAGTGATCACCAAGACAGCGTGATACTGGCACAAAAACAGACATATAGACCAATGGAACAGAATAGAGGGCCCAGATATGGACCCTCAACTCTATGGTCAAATAATCTTTGACAAAGCAGGAAAAAATATGCAACGGAAAAAAGACAGTCTCTTCAATAAATGGTGCTGGGAAAATTGGACAGCTATTTACAGAAGAATGAAACTCGACCATTCTCTAACACCATAACGAAGATAAACTCAAAATGAATGAAAGACCTCAATGTGAGACAGGAATCCATCAAAATCCTGGAGGAGAATATAGGCAGTAACATTTTCGACATCGGTCACAGCAACTTCTTTCAAAACACGTTTCCAAAGGCAAGGGAAACAAAAGCAAAAATGAACTTTTGGGACTTCATCAAGATAAAAAGCTTCTACACAGCAAAGGAAACAGTCAACAAAAACAAAACAGAGAGGCAACCCACAGAATGGGAGAAGATATTTGCAAATGACACTACAGACAAAGTGCTGATTTCCAAGATCTATAAAGGACTTCTCAAACTCAACACCCAAAAAACAAGTCAAAAAATGGGCAGAAGACGTGAAAAGACACTTCTCTGAAGAAGACATAAAAATGGCTAACAGACACATGAAAAAATGTTTATCATCATTAGCCATCAGGGAAATTCAAATCAAAACCACATTGAGATACCACCTTACACCAGTTAGGATGGCAAAAATGGACAAGGCAAGAAGCAACAAATATTGGAGAGGTTGTAGAGAAAAGGGAACCCTCTTACACTGTTGGTGGGAATGCAAGTTGGTACAGCCACTTTGGAAAACGGTATGGAGGTTCCTCAAAAAGTAAAAATAGAGCTCCCTATGACCCAGCAATTGCACTACTGGTTATTTACCCCAAAGATACAGATGTAGTGAAAAGAAGGGCCATATGCCCCCAATGTTCATAGCAGCTCAATGTCCACAGTAGCCAAATTGTGGAAAGAGCTGGGATGCCCTTCAACAGACGAATGGATAAAGAAGATGTGGTCCATATATACAATGGAATATTACTCAGCCATGAGAAAGGATGAATACCTAACTTTTGCATCAACATGGATGGGACTGGAGGAGGTTATGCTAAGTGAAATAAGTCAAGCAGAGAAAGTCAATTATCATATGATTTCACTTATTTGTGGAACATAAGGAATAGCATGGAGGACATTAGGAGAAGGAAGGGAAAAATGAAGGCGGGGAATCTGAGGGGGAGAAAAACCATGAGAGACAATGGACTTCAGGAAACAAACTGAGGGTTTTAGAGGGGAGGGGATTGGGGGGATGGGTTAGCCCGGTGATGGGTATTAAGGAGGGCATGTTTTGCATGGAGCACTGGGTGTTATACGCAAACAATGAATCATGGAACACTGCATCAAAAACTAATGATGTACTGTATGGTGACTAACATAACATAAAAAAAAAGAATCAAACAGTTTATTCAGATGAAAAGTTTTAATCTTATAACATTATTTGAAGTACCTAATTAAATTAGCCAGTAGTTAATTAGCTAGCCAAATTAAGTCGAGACCCATCCTCACCCCCAAGAAAGTGCAAAGCAGAATACTCTGGGAAATATTGCTCTAGAAATGGCAATGCAAATTTCTAAATGTGGGATATTAGGAAATAAGATACTGGAAAAATATTCAAGGGTGGGATTGATTTGATTTACCAGGAGATAACTATTTTGAATTTTTTTTATGGTAATAGTATATTCTAAAGTCAGATCTGGGAGTGTCTTATATACCAAGAATTTTACTTGAGACTTTTTCTGTTGTCATGACAATGTTTTACTCCATATTTTATTCTCTGCAGAGCCACTCCCTTCCTTTAGTGTCTGAGTTAATTTATTGTTTTAGTATATAGTTTTTTGAATTTCAAACAAATGATATATATTACTGCATATAAATATATAGCAGAGAATAAATTTTTTGATATTTGTTAGATTTTTATAAGGATAAAGTACTACTGAGCAGCAAATTCATGGTTGGGAAGCTCTTTAGCTTTTTCAGGCAACTATAATCTGGTAAGCTAGAAATGTAATTTATGAAAGGTGATCCAAGGTATTACACTTCCTAGGACCTGGACAAATACTGCACATCTTGCTTATAAATAAGTGTTCACAGAAGGCTTTCATTGTAGGGTAAGCCAGTATATAATCTTCAGGGAATGTAAAGCTTATATGAAAAATGAAAGAGAATGTCTCTATATATTTCTCTTAAAGGCAGCTAGCTGTTGACTAAACATGGTGAAGTTTGAGTGAAGTAGTTTATGTTAACTGGAAGTCATTATTATGTGCGGATATGTGTCTGTTTTTAATATTTAGGCATTTGTGAAAGATTGTTAAAACATTGCTTATTAGAAAAGATCTTTTCTTCATTAGGTTTTTTCCTTTTGACAGTGATGTGAATTTTGACAGTAAAGAACGGACAGCATGTAAAGGAAAGATTGCCATATCAGGTATGCTATAGATGGATTGTTTTTATATTGCTGAATAAATTCTATTAAGTGCCTTCTTAGAATTTGTGGGCTTTTAACTCCCTGCATCCATTTTTTTTCCTTCATTTTATTTTGCATGCCTCTATCTATAGTTGTTCTAAAACACTGTTTTCATCACTCTGCTGTACATTTATGTAAGATTTTACAGTTTGAGAAAGCTGTTTCATATGTATTATATATATTATGCAGTTTTCTCTTCAGTGAAGTTTTGTGAAATAGGTAGGATAGTTCTCTTTTTCTAGACTCAGACTTCCCGTAAGTGGTTGGGCTGGGCTACAAACTCAAATCTTTGACTCCATTCCTTTTCTGCTCAGAAGTTTCAATAGCAGTTCTATGTTTGTCCAGGCTAGAAGTTCCATGAGGGTTGGAACTGTGTTTTGTTCATCACTGTATACCCTGAAGCCAAAACAGTGCTTACACATAGTAATTGCTCCTTGGATATTGATTGGATGGATGACTGCTTCTTGTTTTCCATAGGATAAAAACCAAACGTTCCCCCTCAACAGTTTTCCATTCTGACCCAACTATTTTTCTAGCCATATCTTCTACTCCTGTACATAAAGTGTCTGCTTAGCCAGACATTTCTCTCCCTTTTCTGTCAATACACTGCCTACTTCTGACACCAAATTAGCTCTTGAAATAACTATATTATCTTCAGGATCTGTTTGCTCATCTATAGAACCTTCCCTGTTACCATTCCAGCTGGAAACGTTTTCTTTCTTTGAATTCCTAATCCAGATGGGAGACCCTTTACCACTAGATGGCACTTATGCTGTGCTGTCTCAGTTTCTCCAAAGTGTTAAGGAAACTAGACAGTGGCTTGGAGTTGCCACAGATTGAAGTGAACACAGGCTGACTCGTGTACACTAGCCAGATAATGTACCTTTTACAAATATTATCTCATCGGTACATTTTGGGAACAACCGACCTCCATCAGCCCTTAAGTCATAACTAGCTTGTTTCATTGGCCGGAAGCCTTGTTCTCTTAGCTCCAGGGAACATGCGGCTGCATTTCAGCTCTCTTGCCCAAGGAACTGTTTTTAGAAATGTCTTTATGGATAAACAAAATTCTCATGCAGGAAGGATAGATCTGAATTTTACAGGATGTAATTGTCCTAAATCATAAGAATTGCCCTCAGCAAAAAATTCCTCGGAAAGTAACTGAACTATATAAAATCTGTTGCTTGTTTTATAGTTATTTATATTCATGTCTTCATATTTCCAATTATAAGTCTGGAATAAAACTTGTTTTATTCCTCCTTATATGCTTCTGATGCCAAACACAGTACTTTTACGTAGTAGTTGTGCACTATGTTCGATACATTTCAATGTGAATAAATAAAATATTTGAGATCTTTAAGGGAGATTTTCTAAAAATACTTAAACATAATCCTCCATTTCTTGCTTGTGATTTAGTGCCACTAAGTACACGAGTAAGATATGTTAAATTGCTGTTGAAGACTAAAATGACATGATAGAGCTAACACCTATTGACATAATAGTTTATTTGCTACAGCAATTCATGATATTAACATTTACTGCACATTTAGAAGAGTACTTAAGTAAAAACATTTAAAGTAAGAGAAAAAAACTATTTTCCTGACCACAAATACTCAAGTGTAGAAATTAAACTTATTTCTGCATGTGTTCCTTCTTTCCAAGAGATAATTTTAAATTAAGGAACTGGAAGCCTCAGAAAATGGAATACATATGTAATTTCTCTTCATCTTTGCTTCAACTTAATTATATCTTGTCTCTTTATTTGTAAGAAATAAAAACAAAGAAAATTAAAAACTAATTCACATTTATAAATACATTTTCTTTTGACATTGGGATGACTTTTGATCAAAATGAGTATTTGCAACAAAGGTTCCTAATGTTCTGAGATTACATTGATTACCAGGCAATACCTGGGTTTTCCATTTCCAGTTTCACCACTCATGGCCAGATCCTTATAAAAATAAAAAGATAAGTCAGATATATCCTGATCGTTCTTACTAAATATCAAATAATTGCATTGTGGCAGTTGTCTCTGCTTATTCATTGACTACTAATTCAATATCTAAAGCCAAATCAGTTCATAAAGTGCCTCGGTTTTTACTTTTGAAAATGATAGAAAGACTTTTAGGTGTTGACAGCATCAAGTTAGCCATTGTATTATGTATGTCTCTTTCAGTTTATCATAAAAGTGTCAATGAAGACATAAAAAGAGACAAAGGTAAGAGCACTGTCAGCTAAAACTGAGTCAACCATTTGCAAGCATCTGGAAGGAATTTCTATTTGAAGCTGAATTAAAAATCACAGTTGGTGGGTTACACATCTTTTGTCATCTGAACAGTACCTGACCACCTGGGAAATAGATAAGAAATGTGTGCCTTCTCTTGAGAATTTGACGTAGGTAGGCATGGGAAAAGGCAAGACTGACCCATAGGCTATTGGTATATAGCAGAGGAAGTCAGGGTTCATGTTCCTCCCAAGATAGTGTAAATAGTTAATACCACCCTAATAGGACAAGAACAGCTGTGAACAAGAACAGTTGTGAAATGAAATGAGTCAGCAACTGTGGCCAAGCAAGAAGCAGGCTCTTTGACAGGGTATCAGCCAAGTCATAATTATAAAACAATAAAGGCAGTCCCATTAAAATCAAGGACAAAGTAAAAATGTCTATTATTATCAATATAATTTTGACACAATTTAAGAAATTGCAGCTAAAATAGCAAGAATGAAAGATGAAACTGCTGAAAAGAAATAGAGAAACTGAATACTATTTTAAAATAATAGATTGCAGACCTAGAATATCTAAGGAAATTTACTGAAACACTATTTGAACTAATAAAAAAATCAGTAGAAGTGGCTAGATTCAAGGTAAATATACAAAAAGTGGTAAGCTGTTCTCAAAACCAATAATATCTAGTTAGAAAATATGGCAGAAAGATCTCTTTTACAATAAAAACAACAAAAAACAAAAATATTAAATAGCCCAAGAATAACCTTAATAAAAACGTAAGGGTAACCTGTATAGTGCTACTGAATATATATTGACAGAGTATTATAAAGTTACCAGTTCTCAAATTAATTTGGATAATAGAATTCTAATAAAATATTTTATTTATTTATTTATTTATATTTTATTATGTTATGTTAATCACCATACATTAGAGGGAGAATTTGGACAATATATTTCTAAAATTCACATAAAGAAATTAGCAATTGAGAATAAGATGTTTTGGAAGGCTATATTTCTAGCAAATGGTAAAGTATACTATAAAGATCCAGCAGTTACAATAGTATGGTATTGCTGTTAGGATAGACAGTAACTGTTAAATGATTCAATTAGATCTGTAAAGCATATAGCCAAAGGACAGATACTCAGAATGGCATATATGATAAAGATCCATTGAATCATTAAATCAATGAGGAAGGGAATGCCTATTAGATATATAAATGGAGCTGGAACAATTATTTTTATAAGAAGAATATTTTACCTCATATACCCCCAAATTCTCACATAGATTAAATAATTAACTTTTAAAAGTACAAAGCATAAACAGTATGTTAAAAAAAAGAAAAGTGGGTCATGGATACAAACATTCACTGAACTGGCTGATAAATGTACTAACATTTTTCTTGTTAATTAAAAAAATGCAAATCTAAATTTGTCAATTGTCTGTTAAATTAGTAAATATATTTTAAAAATTATGGTTAGATGAGATATATATAAGGTGTTTAGCTGGGCACATGGAGAGAGCCCAGTAAGTAATATTTTTTTACCACAACTGCTAAGGCAGCAGTGGCAGGACACTCATACACACATACCTGGTTGGACGGGTAAGGGTGAAGGAGTATTATAAAGCTTTTCTAGAAAGGAAATTAGAAATAGGCATTAAGAACCTTATAAAGGATTCTAAACAAATGAATATGTAGACAAAGAATCATAGGACTTAAAGTGAAGCACAACATAAATGTAGCCAAGCAGCTTATGTTCATAAAGATTTGTAATTATTTGAAAGTGGCATAATTAATAGGTATGAAAATATGCATATTACACTTCCCTAAGTGTAATAGGGAAGTGTCTTAAACAGAGCAATTTTCCACAAAAGTTTGAGGTATTTATACTCTGAGTAATTAAAACTAATTTCACTTTATCATTGAGCTTTCTACTGTGCTGTGTTATGCTGTAATTCATACATCTTAATCTACTTGGTAGAACTTTGATTCTCTTTGAAAAATATAGATACTGTTAGAATGTCAGAGGAAAATTGTTAATCTAGTATTAAAAGTAAAGGGGGGGCGCCTGGATGGCTCAGTCGTTGGGCGTCTGCCTTCGGCTCGGGTTGTGATCCCAGGGTCCTGGGATCGAGCCCCGCATCGGGCTCCCTGCTCTGCGGGAGGCCTGCTTCTCCCTCTCCCACCCCCCTGCTTGTGTTCCCTCTCTCGCTGTGTCTCTCTCTGTCAAATAAATAGAATCTTTAAAAAAAAAAAAAGTAAAGGGAAGAATGGAGGTAACTAGGAAGGAAGAATTTTGACTGTGTCAAAGGTCTAGATTAACATCTGGAGTAAGCATCATTAGCATAATTACTTTAAGGTTTGAAGAATGTGTGAATGAGAGAAAATACATTTTGATCACTTTTAGAACATATGCCCTTTCCTTGGTTTTGAAGAAGGAATGCATTACTTTTTTTAGTTTTATTTCTTAAGGGAAATGCCATAGTTTGTAACATGAATATACAAAGATCTACAAATTCTTTCATAGACAAGTTAAATCTTCTTAATGAAAAAGTTTGGATCTGTTTGTCATGAACAATGATCTTAGACAAGTCACTTAATTTTCTTCATCTTTTGCATAGTGGAAGTCCTGACATCCTTTCTACCTACTATTTTATGATTTTGAAATGTATTTAACTACATTTGTTGCTCCCACTTACCCAAAATAGAAATTCAACTATTTCATCTATTGCAAAAACAATAAATCACAAAATGAAAATGTTATGGCATAAGCTTATTACAGACCTTACTTAATAATTTCTTGAGTAATAGTTGGTAAGGTTTTTTAGTATATTATTTAAATAACTATAAGAGATTTTATATTCCTAGTCTAAGCTATTTTTGAGAAAATATTGCCTGTGTTAGAATATTTAAATAATAAATTTTATATTGGCTTTAATGGTCAGAATCCATTATGGAATTCAGAGGTTCATTTCACGCTAAGAAATGGAATTTATCAAGATTATTACTTGTCATTTCTTTTTCCCCTCCTTCATAGATATTCGTATACCACTAATGTGGAAAGACTCTGATCACTTCAGCAATAAGGAACGTATGTACGATTTTAATTTATATTTGAAATGTTTTCTTTAGGGTAAATTTGTGACTATTGGGAGAAAAAGCTGCTTCCACATGAAATAAATTGATGTCATTTGACAGAATAAGCTGTATCTTGCTGAACTGTGTTTTTTCCTATTTTTAGTACAAATATGTTGTAATTGCTTGATATTAATTAAGATAATACCTACCTAATGTACTTTTAGTTGTTGATTGGAACCCATGCAAGGACTGTAACAGGTTGTGTGGAAGGGAAGGTACAACAAAAGAAAATGTTTAAGGAGTAAAGGTAAAGGCAGCATTTCTTTTTGACCGGAATCTGGGAGATCTTTTCTGCCTTGTTTTGTTACTTCAGATTATTTAACAGGATGTAAGAGGGAAAGATTTTTAGCTTGATCTGATTTTCCCCCTTCAGCATTTACAAATCCATGTATTTTCACAAATCCGTGTATTGCTTAGGTCATAGAAATTAACCTCAAATGATTTCTAGAGGCAAAGTGGAAAAGCTATGATAATCCTTTATCTTTCTTGTCTATTGTGATATCTTTGTTCCTCATAGTTTAAAAAACTGAATCATATTGAGCATAATTAGTTTTATATGAAGAATCCAAAGTCAGGTTAGTATATTTGTTATTCAATTAGGAAATATAATTTACTTTACAAAGGAATACATGTGGGGATTAAGCGTATCTTTCTGATTACTATAGAGAATAAGTTTTTCTGAAGAGCTACATTTTCTCAATAATGAGGTTTTAGCCCTTTAATCACCCAATACTTTTTAAAAACATCACCAAATTAAAAGGCTCAGCAGCTATGTTTTTTGTGTTCACATGCCTGCTTTTTATTGTTTTTGTGGTTTCCTCCTTTGCTCTCAGTTTGGTGGAAAATGTTTTGCTGTTGTTAGCGTGCCTGCCCCTAACCTCTTATAATAGAAAACTTCTTCTTAAATAGACTTGGAAACCAAAATGACAGCAGTAATAGTATATATACAATAATAAATTTGCTATTAATGGAAGTCTAAAGAGTTTCTAGGAATAAAATTTATGAATGTGATGCTTGCTTTAGGCTGCTGAGAGGCCTGTATTTTCAGCTTTATTTTTTGATATTCCTTGGTTTAATTGCTTTGTTCTGGTTGGGAAAGGTGTTAACATAGACTGACAGAGCAATCCCTATAAAAAGTTAACGATTACAGTGTAACATATATAAAAATAAGAATCTTTTAACAAATATTAGAGCTAATTTGTCATTTTCAAGTAGATTTTAACATGATATAGGCATGATTCATCTCATGGAGCACTCTTTTTTCTCTAGGATCACAGCAGTATGCCATTTTCTGTTTATTCAAAATGGGAGCTGAAGTTTTTGATACTGACATGGTGATTGTGGATAAAACAGTCACAGATCTATGTTTTGAAAATGTAACTATATTGTAAGTATGTTTAAATCTTTAGAGAATGAGAACAATTTAAAATTCTACCTTTAAAGGAAGGCAAAATTATTGGGTTTTTGGATTATTTTTGAAGCATTAAGATCTTTAAATGTTTAAATTGATTTTGAAAATTACTTTATTCAGAAGAAGCCCACTTTTGCATTTGAAATTTTTCAATGTAAAATAAAGTGGAAATCATGTAATATTAGTAGTAAATATTTGACTCATTGGATATGATAAATTTTTATTAGTTTCTTTAAACATGTATAGTTTCATTATTAACCAAGCTGTGAATACAATGGAATCTCATTATAACATTATTTTATATAAAGTGAATTTGAGCATAAAACAGGTTCTTACATCTCATAGAGGATATTTAGTTACAGAAATGCTAAAATAGTTATAACAACTTTATTTATAAGATTGTCCTGAAATATGTACCATAGGGAAAGCACTTTGGTAAAATTTCGAGATGTTCTTTTTCTTACGGTGTACTTCTTTCATGTACTCCAAAACAATAAAAAATTGGGTGATCCTTAGAGCTTTTTTTATTGCCCCTGCTCTTTTACAGGCTCATTTTATTGTGGTCATAATACAGAACCAGAAGGAACTCCTCAGGTAGCCATAGAAATCACTTTTAACCAACATAAGTTTTTCCTGGCCTCTTTCAGAGGTTCTATTGTCCTAAATCAGTGTGTGATTTGTATTTCTTTCAGGGTTTCAAAAACACTGTCTTTGTATCTCAATATTAATAGCTACTTAACTATTAAAATAAAACTGAATGTACATGGTTTTTGCCATTTTCAGTTATGAGCTAAACAGTAGAGATTGGAGAGTAGTTTTGCCACTCACATAACATTAGAAAAACTATTGCAAACCATGTTTTGTGGCTTCTGTCCAGTATGCCATAAATAATTGTGTAGCACAGAAAAATAAAACACATTGTTCTGAGTTATTAGCAGTTGTTCAGGCCTTCTTACAAACTATTGAACCAAAGGAATTTATTTAGGATCCTCAAAATATCACCAAATGCTTATGTAATTGAGACTAAAAGAATAATTTTCCTTGGTTATCTAACTACTTTTATTTCCATAATCAACTTTTGCTAGTGCATTTTTTTCTACCAAAACTGTCCTGTTAATGGGCTCTTTTCTTCACATCATTTTGCTATTCTTTGCTTTTACCACAAAGACAAAATCATAATTTTTTTTTCATTGAGAGAACAATGCAAGTTACTTCGGAAGACACCACATGATTTATAATTTTTAAAAATTCTGTAAATATTTTAAATTGTTCCAAAAATAACTGCTGACAAATGTTCTAAATGTTTAAAAATGTGCTTTTGTTATGATTGTTTTTAATAAGTATTCAATATTTATGAATCTCTGGTTTTTCTCTAAATATTGACATTTGTTAGTCATTACCAGTAATACTGTATGTTTAAAGGTTGCCAAGTAAATTATAAAAATATCTGGGAGTTATTCCTTGGATTTATCCAAAGTATAGATTGGCCATTTAAAATCTCTGAGACTGATGGATCTTCCATGTAAGGCAACATCTACTGCTGATGGATCTCTTGCGGTTTTAAGTAAATTTTGTTAGTAATACCACCACAGTCTTTTATGGTAAAGGTAGTTCATTGTGTTTGAAAAAGTGCAAAGCCAAACTTAGCATTTGCTAAAAGTGCAAAATTTTTGCATATGAGTGTAATAGTGTATTGAGGACCTTTTATGCAAGGTTAAGAATACAGAGATTACCAAGGCAGCACTCTCCCTCAAGGAGTTCCTGCCTTGCAGTATATAGCTCTTTGTATCGCTTCTTGCTTGTGTGTTTGTTTTCCCCTAGATAACCAAACAGTGCAGCATTATTTTAGAGTTATTGGGTACAAAGGTGGGGTGGGGAGGGCATGGTAGTGATTGGACTGTGACTCTTTATGAAAAAGAAATGAACACTGAAGTTTTCAGCAGAAAAAACCTTTTCTTTCATTTTATAAGTCTTTTCCTTTTGGAGGATAGTTATTTAAGGAAATCACACATATTATGTAAATGCCTTACAAAAAGGTATAACTGAAGACATGACATCAGGAAAATAGCATTGGCAACAAGATGACCAGGGCATATTATCATTTTTCTTTAGGACTGTGCCTACGTATATTGATCGCATTGTGTTAATTTGGCCCTACTTTAGAAGCTGGTAGCTCTGGAAGTTACACTGACTCTCTGAGGTCATTTAGATACTAAATAAACACAGGGAGATTCTGGCTCATTAACATATATTAACATAAGCCTGTTTCAAATTGTGATTTTAAATGTTCTGAAAACACCAAAGGATGTTCCAGTTTTATTTTCTACTGAGTTAAGTTTCTAACGTTATGAATGCTCTTGATTTTAGTAATGAAGCAGGGCCAGACTTTCAGATAAAGGTGGAGGTATATAGCTGCTGTACAGAAGAATCTTCTATAACCAACACACCAAAAAAACTAGCTAAGAAACTGAAGACATCTATAAGTAAAGCTACAGGGAAGAAAATAAATTTGGTGATTCAAGAAGATCATGAAACATGCTCGTCTTACAGTTCTGCTATTTTGTAAGTTTTTTAATACAGCATTTATAGTGACATAGTATTACTATGTATTTGTGACATTTTAAAGTATTGTATGTAGAGTATAAGTTTACATTTTAAATGGAAGACACATCCTGAAGCAGAAACAAAACTGACATTTACCCAGTTGAGGTATCCTTAATACCTTCCTTTGAAAGTAGGAAGTGTGTTTTAGCGATTTGGAATTCCAGTACCTACCACAAAGCTGAAATGTTTTTCTTGAAAAGGAACTGTCTATTTGTCAAAGTGTTTGCTGCCTGTCAGCCTACTAACTGGATTTCTATATGTCATGCGTTATTCTTACAGATTTTAAAAAATATTTTATCTCTGTATAACAAAACCTCAGTACCTTTATCATGTCTAACAAAATAAAAAATAAGCCCTTAATATCATCTGGTATCCAGTCTGTATTCAAATTGCCCCAATTATGAAAATGTCCTCTTGTAATTTGTTTATGCAAATCAGGATCCAAATAAGGTCTACAGTGTTGCATTTAAGTGAATCTTTTAAGTTTCTTCTAATCTTTAATGATTTCCTGTCTACTTTTTTCTTGCCATTGTTTATTGAAGAAATCAGATCTTGTAGAATTTCCCATATTTTTAATTTAGCTAATTGCATCTTTGTCTTTTTAAACATCTTTTTCTATCCCCCGTTTCCTACAATTGGTAAATCTAGAGGCCTGATTTGATTCAGGTTCTTTTTTAGGCAGTAATGCTTCACATTGATTATGGGTACTTCCTACTGTCTCCCATTAGGAGGCCTTGTCCCACTTACAGTTATGTTAAAATTGATCAGTGTGTTCAGGTGTTGCCAGCCTAATTCATCCATTATAACATTCCCTATCAATGTTTTATCTAATGGTTTTAACAGCTATTACTGATAATTATTTCATTAGGGATTATAATTTGGTGACTTTCTAAATTTGTCATGCATTTTTTTTTAAACTTTGACTTTTCTCAAAGAGGAACTTTACTTCATGAACTGTGGATATAAATGAAAAAAAAAAATTGGAGGAAAGGGAGAAAAAAATGCTGGATTCTTTTATTTACCCAATTTTAGAATAATGAGTTGATATCCTAGCAACCATGGAGGTAATCAGTGTACTCTTTTACTTGAACTCTTGAATTTTTGTATATGTTTGTGTTTCAGTCTGTTACAGTTATTATTCTCTTTGAAGCCAAGTTGTCCCATCTTTGATCAGGGGGAAGCTTTTCAGCTGACTCCTGCAGCTTTTGACATAACCTAATCTCTGATAGCTTCTTTGCTTTCTGACACAAGATGTTCCACATTCATCTTGTATTTTTCTACCCAGACTTGGAGTAACCATTTCTTCAAGGAGCCATGGTTTCTTTCAGATTCTTTCTTTAAACATTGTGTTGTTACTTCACAAAGTTTTATGTTTATGTTTCTTGGGAAAACTGTTGATCAGTCTATATTCTTAGAATTTCTTTGCATGTTCTGATAGATTTGGCTCTTCAGCATGTCAATAACTTTACTATGATTACAAAGAGCAAAATATTTCAGGTATATAGACCCTGGAAATGTCAATCATCACAACATAATTATATAACTCTTTTCATGTCAGATACATTACATATGGAAAATGTCTTGGGATTCTAGCATTGTAGCTTTCAGTCTGTTTTGATTGAGGCCTATGCTAAGAAATACATTTTACATCATTACTGAGTGTACAGCAGCATAAGCAACGTAGATTTCATGAAGCAATACTTGGCCCTAGCTATTTATAATACACATATCAGACTTTTTTATTCTATTTTTAGTTATTTTTTTATTTTAAAGGTTTTTATTTATTTGACAGAGAGATAGAGAGCACAAATAGGCAGAGTGGCAGTCAGAGGGAGAGAGAGAAGCAGGCTTCCCGCTGAGCAGGGAGCCCGACGTGGGGCTCGATCCCTGGACCCTGGGATCATGACCTGAGCTGAAGGCAGCTGCTTAACCAACTGAGCCACCCAGGCGCCCTATTTTTAGTTTTTAAAAATGCAGTTTATGAGTCATAGGTTGATGTCACGATCCATTGGATGGGTTCCCCCCCCACATTTTCCACTGAAAAATAGTCATAGAAGATGTTAAGTCTTTTCTCATATAAATATCATTGAAAAGTAGGTAAAGGACCCTTTAATTTTCTTCCTTTAGAATTAAGGTCTTCTTAAAACTTTTCTAGATTAAGATATGTCAAAAATTTTCCATTGAGTTCAGTAGTTTTTAAAACTTTTTTAAGCAGCAAAATTTATTTTGCTTTATTCAAAACAACGAAAGGACCAGTAATGTCCTGGAGAAGTTACATTATTCCCTGGGTCTCAATTTTCTCATATGAAAGGTAAGGATGTTTAGACACAATCATTTATTAGGAGCCTCCTTAGAGACATTTCTAGGGTTTCATACACCTTAAAGCTTGTATAAAAAAAAAAAAGGAGGGCCTCAAGCCTCATTTTAAAACCTTATTGTTTGGCAGTGAATACTTAATTTTTTGTTCTGTCGTGTATTATTTGTGTGACCCAGGGCAGGTTATTTTGCATTTAACATATTAGCTTCAGGTGTACAAAATAATGATTCAATTTTGTATACACTGAGAAATGATCACTACAATAAGTCTAGTTACTGCCTAGTAACTAGTTCACCATTCCAGGTTAAAGATTTTTTTTCTTGTGATGAGGATTTTTAAGATTTACACTTTCAAATATTTAATACAATATGATTGACTGTAGTCACCATGCTATAAATTACATTTTCATGATTTATATATTTTATAACTGGAAGTTTATACCTCTTGACTCCCTTCACCTATTTTGCCAAACCCCCAACACACCTCCCCTCTGACAGGCACCAGTCTGTTCTCTATATTTATTAGTTTCGTTTTATTTGTTTTGTTTTTTAATTCCACATATAAGTGAAATCATATGGTATTTGTCTTTTTTGTCTGACTTATTTCACTTGGCATAATATCCTCAAGGTCCATCCATGTTGTTGCAAGAGGCAAGATTTCATTCTTTCTTATGGCTGAGTAGTCATCCATTGTATAAATATACCACATCTTCTTTATCTATTCATCCATTGGTGGGTACTTAGGTTGTTTCCATATCTTGGTTATCATAAATAGTGCTACAGTGAACATAGGGATGCATACACCTTTTTGAATTAGTGTTTTCATTTTCTTTGTATAAATACCAGTAGTGGAATTGTTACATCAAACTAAAAAGCTTTTGTACAGTGAAGGAAACCATCAACAAAATGAACAGGCAGCCTACTGAATGATATGAGATATTTTCAAATCATATATCTGTTAAGGGGTTAGTATCCATATACATAAAGGATTCTTAGGATTTAATAGTGAAAAAAAAAATCCAATTAGAATAGAGGCAGATGATCTGAATAGACATTACTCCAAAGAAGACATACAGATGGCCAACAGAAACATGAAAAGATGGTCAACATCAAAAATCATCAGGGAAATGCAAATCAAAACCACAGTAAGATACCACCTCATACCTGTTACAGTGACTGTTATTAAAAAAATAAGAAATAAATGTTGGTGAGCATGTGGAGAAAGGGAGAACCCTTGTGCACTGTTGGTGGGAATATAAATTGGTGCAACCACTGGAAAACAGTATGGGGGGGGGTTCCTCAAAAATTAATAATTGAAAAAATAAAAATATAGTGGGAATTTAATAATTGTAGCTCTTTCCATTATTGTTACTATTTTTACTGTTCTGAGACTAGTGCTTTTCCTTTTTTCCAAACTCATGCTAAAGCATTGCAATTTAAAAACAACATAGGATTATAAAATACAGACAGATATTTTAAAATTTAAAACCATTACTTATAATTTCATAGAACGTAATCTAAGTGATGTTAGAACTTACATTTAACCTATATTCTTTTTGAAGCCTGGAGGAATTTTTGAGCATAATATTGTTGGTACTAAGTTCCTTTTTTTTTTAGATATTTGAGAGTGAGAGAGAGAGAGCACTAGCGGGGAGTGGAGGAGAGGGCCAAAGGGAGAAGCAGACTCCCCGCTGAGCAGGTAGCCTGATGTGGGGTTCCATCCTAGGACCCTGGGATCATGACTTGAGCCAAAGGCAGATGCTTAACCAACTGAGCCACCCAGGCACCCCAGTATTAAGTTCTTTTAAATAACAACTGACTTATTTGTCTTGAAGTGTTCATTCTATTTAGATTTGTTATTCTACTTGGTTTATACCTGAATCCAAACACTAATTTTCTTTATGAACATTCCCCATGCAACTTGCCTGTCATTTGCTTATTTATACCAATTAAAGTTGGTCAAAGGAAGAGTAAAATCTTTTACATTTCACTGAATCATGTTCTGCTAATACCTATATTCTGCTGAGCTTCAGGTGTGAATTCAGCATATTCTAGGTTAAATTCATAGCCCAGGACGACTCTTAACTAGTAATTCCTTAACTGACTGCTTCAGCACCATGATAGGAGTTTGAGAATAGCACTAGAGATCAGAATGCATAAAGGGGATCAGTTTTGTTTCTTTAATAGTGATCTAGTTCAATGAGATCCCAATACAGCTTTTAATTTTCAACCAAAATGGTCATAACAGATCAAACTTGGGCTGTATATATCTTCTCTAGTAATATGGCATGTGACCAAATATAGCTGTTCTTTCTGACAAAAAAGTGCGTTTTTTAGACTACCATTTAAAGTAGTCATTTATTTTTTCATAACATTTTTGGACCAATATCCACCCCCCCACACAATGTTATAACAATTGGCCTATTTGATTAAAAAAATGTAGCTGATTAAACTGTTGGGAACTCAATATTAGGGTTGGCTAAAAGGAATGAGTGTAATGTTTTAGTAAGAAAATGTTATCCTGACAAGAATGTTTTAAAAGTGAGATCATTGTTGGTTTTGGAAGCATTGGCATTGTAATTAGTCATGGTTTAAAAATGAAGTAACTTGAAATATCATCATAAAGTATTGTTTGATCCAAA